ATCTGCAGGGACTGCAAAACGACCGTCAGGTCCTGGGATGTGGGTTAAGTTGCGGCATACGCGACCTGCGGCTGGAAAACTTGTGGTTGCTAGTAGAAACTTTGCTTTGCCAAAAAAACTTCGACGCTCCAAACTTTCGAATGCTCAGCACAGCAAACACGGCAACTACCACTGCTCGAGTTTGCAGCACCAGCACCTTCCAAAGCACCCCCGGCCCAAATCAAAAGCAAAAACAACCAACACACAGACACACAGACACACAGACACACAGAAACACAGACACGCAGACACACAGACACACAGACACGCAGACACACAGACACACAGACACACAGACACACAGACACACAGACACACAGACACACAGACACACAGACACACAGACACACAGACACACACACACACACACACACACACACACACACACAGACACACACACACACACACACACACACAGACACACACACACACACACACACACACACATCCTAAAGCAATCCCAAAGTAGATACGTACTATTGCGAGAAAAAATAGTCACTAGGTGTATGCTCGACCCGACGCAACCAGCAGCTAAGTCAGGGCTGGAGGGGGGTTCAGCGGTTGAGCGGTTTTGGGACTTTGGGTTTTGGACCATGGTACATGGTTATGCCGGAAGCACGGCCAAGCAAAATGACCAATGAGCTGCAAGAGTGCAGATATAAAAGTAGGGTCGTGCAAGCAGAGGCGCGCCCAGCCAGCTGGCTCGCGATGGTGTGTGATGTTGCTCTTTGCTCTTCTTTAAGCTGTAGTCGGGCTCAGCATGCCACACCAGTTACGAGGCGATGCGGGCGAAGTCACTATCAATCGACCCTGTCTTTCAATGATAAGGGAAGTCACTGACTCACTGACCTGCACACAGCGCCCCGAGGTGGGGAAATTGTAAACCATTGCACACCTTGTAACCGGAGCTATAATTAGTGCTCACTCAACCTAAGTTCACACACCAAGGCGATCCTTTTCGGCCGCTCAAGCATTCACCACCGACACTGCAAACCCCTTCATCCTTTCTTTGCCAGGCTGCCATCTTGCTGCCAATCATGCTGAAAAGGAAGATTTGGCCAAACACCTTCCCACTGCGGAACCGGGGCATGCCGGAAGCACTGACATAGGGCACATACAAAGATGCCGCCAAAGCTATCCAAAGCTGACGCTGCACCTGGGTCACACCTACCGGCAGCCTCAGCAAAATGAACTTCGCGATGCCGAGTGGCCCAAACTCCGCCGACTACCTTCAGCAAGTCCGTATCGAGCGGTCTGGCATGACTGAAGGAGCAACCAAGCCTCAGCAAGACCAAGCAACACAAAACTCACACAACTGCTGGTCCAGCTAAGCCACAAGACAAACTTAGAGAGGCTGCCCAACCTTCTCTTTCTCCCTCTCTCTCTCACAGCGAGCACAGTTAAGCATGTGGAAGCTCATGGACTTCCGGTGACCGAGCTGACCGAGCTGACCGAGCTGCACGATCACCAGCAGCTCTGGTTGGAAGAGTGACCCCGGCGCGAAGCCAATCGGGACAAGAGGTGCGCCCTCAGAGTCCTGAGTTGCTTGTCTTGTCAGACCTTCAGGGAGTCTCTTGAAGTCTTCTCTGGCAGTCCCAGCTGTCCTTCGGGAGGCCAAGGCCAAACGTTGCCAGCGCCACTGCCAAGATGAGGAGATATGTCTCCTGCAGAGCTGAAGGAATGACCGCGTGCATGCTACTTGCTCAAGACGACTCAAGGCTCCTCGGGTTTGCAGGTGAAGACGGCAGACCTGGCGACTTGCAATGCTTAGAAGCCTGCATCTTTGCACGGCCCTCTTGACACATTCTTCACAATGCGCATGCAGTACACAGCAAACCTGGAATGCTCTCTGACAAGGCACAGATCCCGCTTCTTCATAATCCAGCCCGTGAACCCACCTTTCAGGCTGAAGATCAGCTTGCAAAATACCGGCTCGCGGCTTCAAACCGATGAAAAGATTAAAGCAAGCTCTCCGAATGCAGATGCAAAGAATTGCAGCGCCGGCCTAAGGCACCACCTATGACAACGGTTGCCACAAAGCGAACGAGGTTCGCGCTGACAACTGTAGCCTTGGAGATCGGGGGGAGACTTCAAACAATTCCGACAAGGACCCCACAGAACCAAAGCCGCGCAAGCAGGTTTCGAAATCTTGGAACTCCCAACCCTTGAGTTTCCAGCCGGGCTCACCGAAGACTTCGACAGCTCTGCGAAGCCCGATAGCAGCCCGAAGAGGGTCAACACAAAAGAGGCCTCGACCAAGTGGCACAACAAATGTCTGATTGAGTTGTGACATGCTCTGTACAGCAGCAGAACCGACAAACGAAGCGGCTGAGGTATGAGTGCCATGAAAATTCCTACTCAACTAGTGGCAAAAAAAGACAAGGTGCCAACAACAACACATCAACATTTCTTTTCTATCTATCATTCTCACACCACGAAACGCAAACAGACATGAGCCGATGAGAGTATCACTGGGCGCGTTAGGACCTTGCCTCAAGTGGAGCCGTCGTGAGAACCAGTCGAGCGAGCCCTGGGGGCTTTCCTTCCACAAAGCACAGCTGAGCACAGCAGAGAACGGATATTTTGTAGCACAGCCGAAGGCAGGGAAGGCACCAGAAGCGGTGACAAGTTTGCACCTGCTCGTATCTGCTGCTCCATTAGTTCGATCATCTTCGGGATGACAATCCCATCTGCCAAGCCGCAGAGAACGGCACCTTCAGGGCTTCTACAACCATACCAGATCGACACAGTAGGGCCAGTAGGGTTCAACATTCGGAAAGTGCCTGTCACGCAGGCTTCGATGCCCGACAGCTCCTCCCAAACACGGCCCTCTCCAAAGCACACATGACAGTGCTCAGCGATGCTCAGCGAAATCTAGTGGGGCGCTGCAGCTGCTCTCCTCCACGTAGTATGCCCAGACAGAGATACCCACCTCAGTTTACACCGTGTTTGCACTTTCACAAGACGAGATGCTGCCCAGCTTCCTGAGGGTCCAGCAAACTCAGAACAGCAAGGGATGATCCCCATGATTACCTCCAGTTTGTCAGCGTGAGAGTCACGGCGACAGTGGTTAAGATGGGGTGAACCCGGCAGTGACCTGGATATCAGGAAGGTCCAGGTAGTTTCTGATCACATGCTCATTCCTGGAGGTTCATCAGAGAGGGAATCTTGCAACCCACCTCGCGAGTTCTTGGAATGTTGTGACTGATCTCAAAGCCGGCTGTGAGAAGGACCAAGAAGAAGGCGCACTCCTCTTTACGTAATGTTGTAATGCATATGCTGACAAAGGACTCAACATGCAAAAAAGGGAGGTCTCTCCCCGCATAACCTCCCACACAAACACCCTGTCCTGGAAGTGGTCTCGCCCTTGGAGGATTTCCTTCGATTACCAAAGCCAGTGCAGACTCCATCTACTTCGTGCTGCAGATGCTCTTGGGTTGACGTACTTCTTACTTCTAAGGAAGTGAAATTTAGAAAGGGCATCAACGACCTGAGGGTGTCCCTCTGCACGCCCTTGCCTCAGCACGGTCCTAGCATCCCCCTCGCGACTTTTTCTGGTTGACCGTTGTGGCAAGCACTTTTCTTTGTGCAGCTTCTTTCAGTGGCTCCCTGAGAGCCTTGAGGCTGCACGACAGCAGCATGTGCTGTGAGGTTAGGCGGCAAAGCTAGAGAGCTAAGAGAGCTAGAAGAGACAGTGTCGATTGAACCGTAAACCGCAGGCCCCAGAGCTTAATCTCTCGAATCCTGCGCTCCAAAACTCATGCTTGCATCTTGAAGTGCAGTCTAAGGTTTCTTGCAAAAAAAGCCCTTTCTGGCTGAGAACCTTTCAACATCAGCGCTATCAGATCGGCCTGTCGCTGGGCCTCTGCTGTCAGGGTCTACCCCAAATTGTCCCATCAATGCCCTGTCCCAATGCATCTGGGCTGCTGTCTGCAGGAGGCCAAACTTTCCGCAGAGCCAACCGCTAAGCAGCACGCCCACAGGACCAGGAAGGTTCAAAGACACAAAGAGGGTCCTGAACAGAGATGCGATGCTACTTGCTGACGATGTTGATGGGGCCAAGCTTTTGCAGCAACCAATGCTCATTGGGAAGCTGACAGGATTCAGCCGCTCTCAAGATCAGTACCCAAGAGGCGTTGCCTGAGCAGATAGCCAACCAGCAGCAGTAGAGCCAGGCCAGTGACCAGAGGAAAGGCCAAAGGTGGCGCTGCAGACATGGCTTCGAGATTCGTTCGCGATGGTTTAGGCACGTGTGTCGCATGGGCGGAACAAGGGTTCGTGCAGTCTTGGCAAAGTGCACAAGGTGGGTAGGGCCGACTGCATGCCTGCCTGTCTCTCTATCCATCCAGCCTGACACGTTGCTAAGTTGGGAAGGAGTGAGCTTGTAGTGCAGCATATTTACTATATGTACAATTACACACACACACACACACACACACACACACACACACACACACACACACACACACACACGTTCCTCATCTTTTATACATCTGTCTTCGCAAAAAAATGAGCATGAGACCAGGATCATGCAGGAGAAAAATCTCCAAGCCCAAGCAGCTGCGGACTAAGAGCAGCAGGCCTCCTGCCGTTACCCGCTACGTGACATGATCTAAAGCTTGGCCAATCAAGCTGGTGTGAGAGATGAAGACTTGATGAAACAGAGACACCATGACAACGATGATAGTAAAAAGATATCTAAGGTCCCGATTCCAAACTGAAGAGGAAACAGATCTCCAAGTTTGTCTCTGCTCTGCAGAAACGTAGCCTTGCGCAGACGATCTGGATGCTGCGGTAAGGTCCTCTACGTCGCGAAGCCGGGTGACACATAGGCACTCTCGCGAAACGAGATTTTACTGATCCCGGATAGCTTCCTGTACTAGCCTTACAAAACACCCAGCACACAATGAAGCACAACTGAGAAGACAATCTGAGGCATCACAGTCACATGTCGTCGACGGTCACATTTTAGTAGCCGTCTCAGAAGCACTTTCACAGCCACACAGGGCCAGTAGACTTTCCTCGAACGAAGCGCACCACAAGCATCGTTAAGACCCCCAATCAGCCCCCTTCTCTCTTTCGCCGGGATCCCAAACCTGTGAAGAAAGGGCCCTGCCTCCTCCGCGTGCATCTGGCGGGGCAGGGGCTGGGCGAAGCGCTCGCCGGGTTTCTTGTGGCCCTGGGTCCTTCGATCACAGGCATTTCTCACATCTCCGCCGTGATGATCTTCAAGATTCACATTTCTGAGACCAGGACCCCGAAAACATGGGTATCAGACTGTCCTCGGTCGTCACGCACTCAAACGCATTGAGATGCTGAAGCTTTAGTCAAACCAAGGCGCGGGTTTTTGCCCTTGCCTGAGCCGCATGCAAAAGCAGGGTTCACCAAGATGTCTCAACAGTGCCTCTACTATCCTCAACCAAGTCAATGTTCTACATCATGATGCAGATCCCTATGAGTACGTGCTAGAGCAGCTCACATGGCAGAGCTCTGCGGCAACCTGATTCTGCATTGTAGCACCCTCCTGTCATTATCAATGGAATGGGTGCCATGTCACTACTATTTGGGAGCAAACCCAAGCCCTGCCACCGTATTCCTCCTGCAATGTCGAAAGCCCTGCCGCACGCGCTCAACAAAGCGGCGTGGTATCTGAGGATCCAGCATGCGAGCTTCAGAGCTTCCCTGCAGCAGTTGGAAAGATCTCGCTTGCAGAATGTTTAGAGTGAAACACACAACTCACACCCACACAGAGCCACAGAGCCACATAGATCAACTAGGAAAGCTCCGCAGTGGCCTCCTGCGCCCGGCGGATAAGAAGCTCCATGCACATCAGAAAGCGCTGGGAGGCTGCCTTGGAGCTCCGCTGGGCAAATGAAAAGCTCCATAAACAGAGCTCGTCACTAATGACCACACGCATTCAGACCCTGCCCTCTTTGACTTCGACTCAAGGTTGCACAATGATGCACGTTCTGGCAGTGTCTCAGGGGAGTTTCGTGAACATGAATCTGAGTTGTCCGATCTGGCGGGTGGGCTTCAGTGCTGAGGCCCAGTCCATATCGCCGAAGACAAAGGCAAGCTTGCGCTTCATGAACTCAACAACGACGATGTGCTCCTGGAACCCCACGTACAAGATCTGAGCTTTACTCCTCATCAGCCTCATCATCCTGAACCCCCCCTTTCTGGCTATTGCTGGCTACAAGGCTCCGCGTTCGAGAGAGGGAGCGGTGGCATTGGCGTGGGCCCAGTAAGCGACCCTGCGGAGAACCAGCGGTCATCATTTTTGACGATGCGGTACCTCACCAGACAGCAGTCAAGAGGGGCTCTTCAAACTACTATTATTCAACCGAGCACAACTGTCACAGCTGTGGGTCCGCAGTGCAACAGTTTGCGGCCGAGTGACACCTTGGACACTGCGCTCAGAGGAAACTCGATGATGCAGCCACTGCCCTGATCAATCCTTGGAACGATTTGGGCGACTTCAAAGGAAGCAGGGCGGAGTGCCCCCAACTCCCGGATGAGCATGTCGCTAACGCATAACCGAAGCTCTCAAAGATGGGATTGTGAGATTGCAGCTGGTTCGGGGGCCATATCTGAAAAGCAGGCAACCGCCAACAACAGCCAAGGCTCTTCAGAGTTTCAAGATTTTCCAGGATTTGGCAATGAATATCTGAGTATTCCTCAGCGCAGAGGAACACAGAACTCCCAAATACTCAAGCCCTTGGATCAGTAACTGCAAACTCCGCTTTACCTGCTTACCGATACACGGTCTCTGCAGTGCCCATCAGCGTTTGCGGTGGCGACTACAGTTTGCAGCAAGAGGTTTGCCCAACGCTGACATGCTGGCAAGGTTCCTGACTCGAGCCTTGGCTCACACTTGTCCGGGAGTGCCCATCACGCCACTGTGCTAGGAGCATCTCTCTTTAAAAGATTCCAGCAACGATTCGAGCACAATTCTCCAACAAGAACATGGCAGAAACAACGTCTGACACCTGGAAATGCAGCTGCTAGCTGCACTGTGCTGTCCTGTTAGAAAGGGGGTTTTGCACATCCGCCGAGCAGCTGATCTGCGTCATGTGCATTCCTCTGTGCAGGTCCAGAACGAAATCCTGCGGGTAAGGCGTGCACAGTCGCAGGGTCATCAACTGGATCAGGGCGATGCAGTTTTAAAATGACTTTAGGTAGAGGGCTTGCAAGTGGAGCATGGTCGTGCCTTTCTCTTCATGTCTGAGCAGCAGCAGACACTCGACTCAAACATGGTGACGAATAACAATGGCAGCACTGTTCGAAAAGGACCACACAGGGAACGCAATCAGCATCTTGCCTGGAACACCCGCAGCAAGGTCGCCCGACGCCTTGACGACACCCACATGCGGGCGATGCAGGGACCAAACTGGACTTGCTTTCACACTGCAGCGCCTCAAGAAACCAACTCCAAATGCCAAGGCCCTAAGACCAGAAAGGAAAGCGACACCGCTTGATACTGAAGGGAAAAGAGTAAATCAATCCCGCTGCCCACAAAGCAAGCTGGGCCTGAGTCCAAGGGCCACCATACTCCAAGCCAATGAGGTTCCCCAGCTAAACCGACGCCGAGATGCTTATCCTCAGGCTCATCGGGCATCGCATCCGGTGGCAGTGGATAACGCAGCAGCCGCGGCAGCTGGATGCGGTCCCTTTGGCACAGTCGCACACATCAATCGAAACAACGAATCTTAGGGCTTAGGATGGTCTAGGGCTTGCATCCTGTCAGCTTGTCAAGCAGCTTGCCCCAAAACACGCATGGGCCGCATGGACGATCGCTTGTACAGCACAGCGAGCCTATACTGGTATGTCGGCAGTAGAGCAAGAGAAGACGAGAGGGAGAGAGGGAGGCAAGCAGGGAGAATGGAGAGGGAGAGCACGCTGCATCAAACCGGTCCGCAACCTTCCCACATTTTTCAGAGCCAGCCTGAAGTCGTGCTGGCGAGGCGTCATCTGCAGCTGCCTTGTCCACTCTCCCATGGCCCCAGCACGTGGAGAGACCTGCATGCTGCAGGAAAAACCACAACATCTTGTTCCCTGCAATCCTCGCTGAGGCATCAACACGCATGTGTGTCGTGTCTGGCGTGTCGAATGCTTACAGGCGCACGTCTTCACGAATATAAGCGCAACTGAATGCTCCGTTCGTTTGTAGTCATGTTGCTGTTCCAAGGAGTGCGACTAAACTTGGATGATCGAACAATAGCAAACAATGTTACGAAAATGTACCAGAGAAAGCATGCGCCCGAGCCGTTCGCATGGTGTTGGACATTGTTCTGAAGGCTCTTTACTCGTTCGTGCTTGTCGAAGTTTTTGCTGTGTGCTTGCTGGCATGAAACACAGCACGGACAAGCACATGCCAGGCTGGTTCAGCGCCACGTGGCCGTCACGTCGAAGGAGTCCTGCTCCGTGAGAAGATGGACCGGGTGCGCCAATCGCGTCTCGAGCACGTCACTGGTAAGTTGCACCTGACAAGAGTAGTGCCACGGATGAGATAAACCAAGCGAGCCAGCTAGCGAGCATGGATCATTCAAGTGACCAGGCTCTTTGAAAACATCGATCCATCTGAAAAGCTGAATCGAGGTGAGGGCACAACCTTCATTTCGCCGTTGACAGAAGTCTGCTCGTGCCTCAATTTGCACAGCACATCCGAAGAACAATGGCCGCAACAAGGCCCGTCAAGCCTTGTGCGCGTGTGTGTGTGTGTGTGTGTCACAACATGTGAGGTTCTTGTGCTCGCCAAAGTGCTGTACATTGCAGCAAAGAAGATACCTGCAACAGGGTCTTCGTTGCCAGCGCAAGGTGCAAAACTTGTTGCCAATGGTTTACACGATGGTTCCTTTTCCTTTCAAAACCTTTCAAGGAGCAAGTTGACACAGATTTCTTAGCATAGGCAGGCTTGAGCACCTTCCACACCACCTATTCCCCCGCCTGTCAAGGCCTAGGGTCGTGATCCAATCGCTCATCATCAATCAACGTCCTGACGCTTTTCTCCAATGCTTCGGCCACTTTCTACAGATCGCGTGCAAGTATTCTACTGCGCTCATCTAGGCACCGCGAGTAGACTGAGACGTGCAGCAACACACCGGATCAGAAGGCCTCCCTCAGGTCATGGGAGCAACCAATACACCGGGTCGCAGCGCCATCAAACTAGATGGTACTAGTAGGTCTGAGTGGTCTGGTCGCATCCATGTGGACTTCTGCTGCCGCTGCTTCAGAGATGATTTCCCCGCTCCATCTAAAAAGAGATAGCGTTAACCTGGCTGACTATGTTGGTTGCGGAGCTTGTTCGTAAATCGGCGTGGAAATTATTGAAAGTTACTTGCTTTTCTAGACGAATGTCGCTGGGCCTTGCTGGGCCTGATCATTGTGGCCTCGAGCCAGTGAGACTTCGAATGTTCATCATGGTCCAATTCTGGTGAAGAAATGCGGTGTATACATTGTGCAGTGTAAACATTGCGTATACGCCGTCCATGGTCGGCCATGTCTACTCCACATCTGCAAGCCAATACCCGCCTATGCTAACCTGCAGCAGGGGAGGCGGCACCTGCACCTTCACCTGCAGGGTCGCACATGGAAAGCCGGAGACGCGAACGGGCAAAAACGTCCTGACCTTTTCAGCTAGCAGCTAGGGCCTACCCTCATACGCTGGGCTTGGAGATAGAAGGAAATGCCCTCCAATGTAGCTGCCCCGCATTGACGCACATGCTATCCACAATGCAAAAATCGCGAACCACGACGAACTTCTGTCAAAGCCCGAGGCCTGGCCTATCTACATCAAGCTTATGGATGTCGGATAAGGAGGGAATGCTTGAGCCATCAAATGGCTCTGTTCGACATTGGCAGAATTGGCGTCAGCAAAAACTTGCGACCTCTTCATTAAAGTCTAGATGCCTGCTCGAGACAGAGCTTGCAAATGCCAACCAAACGACTAAGACGCATGAAACTGCGGAATGACAGTAGGTATACCAAATTATAGGCCATGACGAGGGCTGCACTCACGGCTTCTCTCAGCAGACTCCGAAGAGGCGGAGCGTCGCTTCTTCTTCTCCTACTCAAAACGTTAGTCATAGCTGGTGGACATTGCAAGAAAGAGTGGGGCTTGGCAAAATACACCGTGGCCCGATGTCGGTGCCCTGCGGCCCCAGTCATTCACTGCTTCGGAAGGTGAACAGGGCTCGGCTCCTTCTTCTCCTTGCGGTCGCGATCACGGTCGCGCTCCTCACGCTCGTCCTTGTGATCGCTGAAAGGGTGACACTGTGCAGAAGCTTCTTCTCTACAGTCTGCCGGTCAACGGTGGTCTGCATACTGTCTGCATTCTTGGTAAACCTCGTAGTAAACTTATCTGAGCCCACAACCTCCTTCCCCATCGCTGCTTTGCCTGACACAGGAGCGGAGATGGCTGCCAAAACACGATCTGAAGCTTCACAACAATCCAAGCTTCTTCTGCGTTAACACAACTGAGGGAAATGTTGCTTCTCTTTACTCCTTTAGCAACTGGCTGCACCATGAAAAAAAGAAAGCACCTCTTGCCAAAGACATGACACTCGAAGCATGCTCAGACTGTGCACCTCCCGCCTGTTATAATGTACCCGTCTTCCGGCAGCGAACTACTTGCTGAGAGCCACAGCACAGTCACGATGAAGACCAGAGGCGAACAACACACCATGGACATTTACGGGGGACTCTCAGCACACTTGGCACAATCAGCCCAATAACACGAAGGGCGAACTTCTCATGCGCGTCAACACAAAACTCCCTGGCTCCAACACATGTGCAACAATCTGCAACAGCGCATCGGCCAGGCTCACGACCGCCGGTTTGATGGAAACGGAAACTTGGCAATGTCCCCGGCCTGGCGCAGGCAAATACATCCTTACAACCCCAGCCACAAAAAGAATACCATGTGAACTGCGCAGAGCCACAATCTAAGCGTATGACTTCGCCCACTCGCAAGAAGGGGATGATAAACATGTCCCGCTGCACTGGACCCCATACTCGCACATGCGTCTCATCGGCAGAGGCAAAAGTCCTCTTGACCAACGGCACCTCCCAAACAGGAATGCACGTAGCTTGCACTGCTCAGACCACAGGTTCACACGACTACTCGGAATGATGCATCTAAGGAGGATCTAGAACCTCGACCTTTTTGATCCAAAGTAACGACGCTACAGAAGCTTGACATGGTCACTTTGTACATGTGCGGATAGGTGACAAAATCAGTCGGGACGGCACCAACTGAGCAGCGGGTGTGAGATGCCCGGCGTAAGTCAGCTCTCGCCTTAGCATCCGGGTGTAAGCCATCAGGCTGCACCTTCATTCTTTCATCCATCAGTGCTTTGTGCCAACAACGAGCTGTCATGTGCTTGGCGAGTGCAACTCAAAAATCGCCCTACTGGCCACAGCCGCGGCTCCTGCTGCAACAAGTTGCAACTCACGTGCATTCTGGAAACATTTCGTGGAATCCAACCAGCAGACAGACACATCATAGACCCACCACTCCCAAGCCAAATGCACCAACTTCGAGTCTCCGGCTCCAAACCAAAAGTTAAGGCTTCCGACACCTGGTCAAACAGGCAGAAAAGCATTGCTAGTTGCAGCTGTGGCCAACCTCAACGGATGGAATCTCGAGCATGTCGCCAGCTTGTTTTTCAAGCTTTGCATGGCAAGCTCATACAGTTACAACGGAAGCAATGACACCTGCTAAACATGAACATGTGCCGAAACAAACTCTTGAGCTGCTCCTCGTTGACCATGGCATGGCACACCTCTGCAAGTCGCAGACCTGCGCAACTCACAACACGGAGGTGCACACAAAGAAGATGTGCCCCAGAAACAACGTCACTGTCATTCCACTGAGGAACAGTGGTGGGGAAAACGATTCCGGCAAGCTTCACATGAATCCACAAACGTGACACAGCATGACATGATCCGGTGTCCTGCCTGGAATAAGCTATTGCAAGATCAAACAACTGTCGCACGGCCCATGCCGGGATTGAGCCGGATGAACCCTACACCGCTGCAGGTTCCACACATCTGTTTCAGCAGCGGCTTGCAAGCTTATCCAATCATCCATCGGATGAGTTGGTCATGATTTCCTGCATCTCATGAAACAGAACATGACATGCACATGACGATTATTCCCACTGTTGAGCCAAAGCACGCACAAACATGACAATTCTTGATTTCCAACGCACTTCGCCCTCACCGCAGGGATCACCAAGGATTAGGCACTCAAGGGATGCCCTGCAGGATTCTGTATGGGACTCTCTGCGGGATTCTGCACAGGACTCTGAACGTAAATCTGCACGGGACGTCTTGCCGGACTCTATGGGATTCTCTGGTCCGCGGGGGATTTTTGAGCGCTTCCCCCAAACTTCCCCGGAGGTGGGCACTCCAAGGATACTCTGCAAGATGCTGTCTACAAGCTTCAAAAGTGCGGGCCCCTTAGAAACCGTCGGATTCACCTTGGAAGCCACATGCCTGTCAGGGAGGCTGCTTGGTGGTTATGGGTGTTCGAGTCCTTGTGTTGGGCATTGCAGAAATGGCTCCTTCTGTCATGTCAAGTTCTTTGGTGATGGGGAGTTGGGAAACTTGCGCAAGTCAGCTCCGCGAATTCGTGCTGCACACAACGCAACCAAACGCCTAACTTTTTGTCACCCTTACCTTGTTGCGATTCAAGCACGCCCCCCACCCTAGCGAGCGAAGCCCAGCAGTCGCACACAAAGCTTATGGAAATGCAACGGGAGAAGTAAGCTAATGGCTAGCGACCATGCGTGTCTTTGCACCCTAAAAATACATAAACAAAACCCAAACCAATAAGCCTAAACCCTAAACCCTATACCCTAAACCCCGAACCCTAAACAATGGGTGGGGAAGCGACTGTACCGTACCGTACGTATACATAAAAAAGACACACTGCTAGTGAAACGACCCCAAATGCACAAGTTTGTCAACTGGCGGTGCTCCAGCACATGTAACTTGCCTGCACCACAACGTCATCCTTCTGCACCTGAAGCCTTTCTGCATCTTTGAATTTGCGACCCCTTGTTACACGTGACGAATCCCATCATACAATGTTGGAGTTCCGAAACCCCTCGTGGATACTCCGCACATGCTTCCCGTTACTTTCCCACCGGATTCGGAATCAGGCATAACACTCTTTTTTCGCAGGGGGTCAGGTCTGCCGGCAATTTACCACTTGAGCGGCCGCAACTACCATAGCTGCGCAACAATGATGCGTGCAAGTCACGAGACTACAGCAGCCGAAAGGAAGAGGGAGCGAAGTTCGCACCATTTGACAGAACCGTGTTGGTTCCATGTATCCCGACTCACTCGCAAGAACCAATCGCAACTCCAGACGCCAGCAACTTCGATCGGCTTCTCCTCGCGCAGGGAAGAAAGGAAGGCATTCCTCAGTCTGGTCTTCCTCAAGCCCTGAGGTCTTAAAAGCAGGGCAACGGTCGCAACTCTGTTTCGGAGCTGCATGCATTTAGAACCTCATGGTTTCATGGTAGGGAAACGATCTTGAAGACAGATCGAAAATACATTTTCAACTGCTGATCTCAAGCAACGCAAGACCAGAAAAACCTTGCACTGCAT